ATCAAACTCTACACTACCACACCACCACCAACAAAGAATAGGTACTGTTTGCTCATCGAACCTATCCGAGATAGGCAAAAAGTGTCCATTATAGCACTTTCGCCAGTTTCGGAAAGCACGAGAAGCATTGAGAAGTTGAAAATAGAAAGATAAGAGACATATAATATTGTGAAGGCAATGACAGAGTGTTCTAAAAGAATTCTGAGACCTTGCGATATTCACGTACAACTTACCATCAGAAATAGGACTAGCGTTCTTTTCAAAAGCAAGTTCGATATGCCCGCTTTCCCTTTTTTCTAAATTCAGATGCACCCATTACAAAAGTTACTGAGCATATATCTCATCCATCCATGATGTGTTCAAATGAGTTGATAGATTAAAGATGAGGAGAAAGTGAGAATATCGAGATGAACGGAGTAGCTCCCAAGATCTTGATTTGAAGCCAAATAAAACATTACTGTTCGTAAGGTTACAACCGGACATGCGCGAATTTTAGGCAAATTTTCCAACAAAGAAAACTGGAAAACCTTAGCAGCGCTTATGTGTAGCAACACATACGCGCTATCACTTCAATTACTACAGACCTCAATCTTCACGGCTGGAGCTATCAGCTTCTGTTTTATTTCATTCTCGAGTGTGGTTTCCGATGCCTCACTCTCATTCTTCTTCTGACGCTCAGCTTCAGCAGCGAGTGCTGCGTCCTATGAAATAAAAGTACAGCCATCAAACTTGAACAGCATTCATCTTACTCTTTCCATTATTCGACGCTGATGAAGGCAAGGGATTCCAGTGACTGGTATTGGGTGATCGCGAACTCCTTGGGTACCAATGAAATATGGCTTAGAAAGCGATACGACGCGAGACTTGCGATGCTAAACAATCTCTTTATTACGAAAAGCAAAGGCCTCATCAAACTCAGAAAGCTCACTAAATAGACAGGCATGCCGCTGTTGTGAGTGATGCGAGTCCAGCCTTCAGGCAAATTCATGAAATGATCATGTTCTATCCTTTCGGGAACATATTTCCATCTTAAATTAACAAATGACTACAGTTTCAGTA